TCTCTGTGTAAGACGATAAATAGCTCTTATAGAGAGAAATATTTTGGCTCATCTTCACAGCAGTAGGTAGGCATCTGTGGACGCGATAAAAACTTCTGAGAAATTCAAGCTCAGACTTTTTAGCTTGTAATAGTGAAATTTTAAGAGTGGGAAAGAGAGTTCTCTTGTGATTGCAAAACTTGAAACTCCTCTATAATCACAAAAAAACGACTTATCTGCACGATTTTATACAGTTCTGTTATTCAGTGTGATCGTAAGTATCGTAACTCATAACGACTTCAAAACGATGAAGGAAACACTCTAGAGGGACTCTTCTTTTTGGACCGCTGAGTATGGGGGAGGGAGGAAGTAATTTGCTGAATGTCAGCTTTGCTTAAAAATTTATCGAACTTCTATCGAAAGAATCAAGCACATTGTCCTTGTATAACGTGGTTACCTTTTTGATCATACGGTCAGTGGAATTTCTGAAAACTGTAATTCAAATGGGAAATATTAACCAACTATGCATAAATCTTTTTTTTAAATGTCCCTAGATATACTTGTGAGGACTACCAGTTATTGTTCTCGAAGCTGAAATCAAGTTCTTTTCAGTGGCGAGTCATTGAAAAAGGTCGACCGCGTACTTTGGCTCCAGATTCAACAACTCTAATGAGTGTCAATAGCAGTTCTATTGTTAATGGTAAGTCATGCTCTTTTGAAATATTTTCTTCACTTATTCCGTCTTCAGGAACTATAAACGGGCAGGAGATGGTTAGCGCTGAACTGTTGCTTTTGGATGTGTCACTTCAAGATGGGGCTGAGTATCAGTGTGTAGTTAGGAATCGCTTTGCTGCCGAGCATAGCATTCGGTCACAATTGAAGGTGGCGATTTATGCCTGAAATCAAAATTATAAGCTTAAGTAATTTTTACTTTCAGGTTTTCCAAGTGCCAGTATTTTCAAGTGAACCGGACGATATGTCATTGCTTGTGGGACAAAATGCCAGGATAATGTGCGCTGCGACAGGTTTGTAGTTTATTACCTGGTAGGTGTTCCTCTTGTAGCTATCGTATATCCTACTCTAGGAATACCACCCCCTGTGATCAAATGGTCGAAAGATGGAGGAGCAGCTTTTCCAGCCGCTTTGCAGCATCGTCTCTTTGTACGACCCAATGACGATCATCTCTATGTGGTTAATGTTACCACCGAGGATCAGGTAGGTCTTCACATAATCACCTGTAATTAACATAGCCTTTGATTCAACTGCCTTGGTGGGTGGAAGGCGGAGCTTCGTGACCTAATTAAAGCCCTCGCGCCCGCAACGCAGTCTGCGTCTCTCCCGCGAGCGTGCTCTCTGATCATTACCTAGCCCTAATTAGGTCACGAAGCCACGCCTTCAGCCGCCAAGCCAGTTCAATCAAAGGATACAAGCTTCTTTGCAGGGAGTTTACACATGTCATGCAGTCAACGAAGCTGGCTCAATCCAAGCTAGCGCAACATTGAGGATTTTTGGTATTTTCCTTATTATTGATTATTTTCCTTTTATAAGCCCTTGCTTACAGAAAATTCTTTCAATGTCACATTGAAAGACACCGTAATCAACGTCAATGAAACTCTCCTACTCGACTGCTACGCCGGCTTGTCTCATCCATCACAGCGTATGGTAAGCCGCAGATGATAGTACTTCAAAAGTTAAAGGCACCGTCCACCCAGATTCTGGACTTTCATGTTTTGTTCGTTTCGGGGCTTCTCATGCCCCTGAATCTGAATGTAAAGTCGAGAATCCGCAAAAACCCCGAAGCCCCGACAATTTCCTTTTGAACCCCAGCCGGTTATTCGGAACAGTGATCGGATGGGCGCACAGAGGGACGGGGATCACGAGGGGGCGGTGCCTACCACCACCCTTATGTCTCTTCGCTATTCCAAAGCGATTTTCTTGCTTTCGAAGCAACATTTTGAGCCGCGACTTAGGCATTGGCTTGATAGAATTTGTCACTATCGTAGGCTGCCAAAAGCTCGAGAACCCTTTTTTGGTGGACGGTTCCTTTAAAGGCAGTGTCCGGGCAAGATGGGGGTTTCGAGATCTTAGTCCCATGTGAGAGTGGCCCCCCTCAGACACAACAAGTGCGACGTCGTAACGCTCGACCTAAAGCAAGAAAAACGACCGGAATATGGGGAAACTTACGCCTTGGTGCGGGGTCCTCCGAGCAATCCAAATTCCTGCTATGCGACAGAGTCGCATGCTGCCACCATCAAAATGTAGGGCCCCGCAGCGACTCTGCATCTCTGCCTTAGTTTGTTCTCGCCGTTTTCGCGCCTTCCAATGTGGATTTTCGGACTCAGCGTTGCGGATAACCTCCGGCAAGTGGATTTTCTACAAATCGAGTTTTTGCACGGACACTGCCTTTAAGGCTGTTTACATGGTTCCCCACTGCTTCAGCTTTTTTTCAAAAGCAACATGGAAAGTGTATTCACGAAGAAGTGCCACTTAATCAGGCTACCAAAGGTCTTCGCCGTTTGCGTAAATTCGAAGCATTTTGTCCAGGTGACACATGTGGCTGTGCTCGTGTCTTGACTCAAATTGGGCGAGTTCTCGAAGAATGCGTCAAAGATTTGCTTTAGTTTATGTCAGAACTAGTTGACAAACCCGGCTCCGCCCGGGCCTGTCAATAATATGTTTGTAATCAGCATGCTCGATTACCCCCGTGTGCCAACTCCCAGCCCTGTAGCTCAAATTCTGCAAAAAATCGATAAAATCGATATCGATCGATAACGAAAAGTAGCCTATGACACCCGCCGGGGCCCGATGTGTATGTGTGCCAAGTTTGGTCCGGATCGGTTCAGAAATAGAATTTTCTATTCGGAACATACGTACAGACAGACATACTTACATACAGACATACCTTCGTTAGTCTAGAGACAGTGCGTCAAAAGTGAAGGTTGTTCAAAGAAGATCAGAGAAGAGAATATGACGTAAAACAGACATAAAAGGCAAAAGAAACGGCTGTAAACCGGATAAAAACGCTGCAATAAGATTTGAAATCTTTCATTCGGCGGCTTTACAGAGTGCAAGTTTTCGCTGCAGGACCACCAATTCGCAACACGGGGTTTTGATTTTTGATGCGTCCTTTAAATTTTTACCCCCGCGTCGTCCCTCTTGTACCCTGCGACGTTGTCTGGATTCTTTCGCTCATCATTCTGAGCAAGTATCGTCCAAGCTGGAGAAAATTCGTTGCGAAACTACTGAAAAAGAATAAGGTAAAGAAAAATGCATTTTTTAGTAATTTCTACAAAAAAAGCGGCATAAGCAAAGAAATAAGCACGGCGACGTTGTCTACATTATAGACAGAAACAAGACCTATCGACTACACAAAAAAACTGCGTGAAAAGAGTCAAACTAGGAGAAAAACGAAAGATTTTCAAAAACAAGGTTTTTGCCGGATTTCTTGTTTGAATCATAAAAAAGGAGTCCTGCGACGTTGTCAGCGTGAAAATAGAGATCAAGAGCTTCAAAATGATATATAGCTTGCTAAAATTGAGTTCGAAACAGCGAAGAAAAGGGTACCAGAGCCAAATGCCCCGCGCCCCGCACTTGGGGTAGCGAGGTAGCTCGCAGCGCGCGGAGACGCAGACGAGCAGCGGAGAGAGACCAGAGCCGGCGGGGCATTTGGCTCCGGTCATTGATCTCCGCGGGGTCATAACGAAACCCTATAATATTATATATCGTTGTGATCCTCATGACACGGCCAGGAGCACTGACAACGTCGCGAGTCTTGAATCTCACTCTATAACGAGATAGACCAGCATTTACGTGGCGACTCTCTGCGCAAGATTTCAGCGCAGTTTCTCGTTTTTGTTGAACTCCAGCGGCTTTCATGAACCTTTAACGCTCAATCGCAGTCTATAGAAAGGTTAACTGATAAGTTTTATCCTAATTTCTAACTGAATTTTTGAAGAAAAACCCTCTTTTCAGCAAAAAAGGCCATGAAGACGCAATCTTTCGCTATTTTGAGCTTTTCTTTGGATGTCACTACTATATGCCTCATTCACATTCATCCTTACATAGTTAGTCATTAGTTATGTCATAATATCCGGGGCTTCGCTTCGGATGACTTGTACTCCTCTCCAGGTGAAGGTTGTGTCCTCTCATGACACTCAAAGTGAAGGTTACCAGAGTACGTGGCTCTATGTATCGAAGGTATGGACAGACAAACAGACGAACAGACATTCAGCTTTATAAATAAGATCAGGGATTTGTTGTTTATTTTGGTCCGTGGGCTCAATAACGTTTTTAGATGTGGAATTATCGAAACCTCCTAGGCACGATATTGACCAACCTCTACTTTTTCTTATATTTTCAAACAAAAATAGCGAGAAAAACTGAAAAACAATGTTTTGGAAAAGTAGCTTTTCTAGCTCAAACAGCATTTGCACCTGAATGTCCCGGTGCATAATTTGATTCGGCATTGATTCATTCGGTCTAGAACCACCATAGCAGTATTAAAAACAAAAAATGCATCTAAATATCTCAGTGGATGTCTGTACTTCTAGCGCCCGAGAAATATTTTTTGGTCACAGACACCGAGTTTTTTTTTCTTAAAAAGCTTGTTACGCTATCAGGATTTCTTGGGTGTTAGTACTCTGTGCCGCTGTAAGCATAACAGTGAAATTCTTTCCAACTAATCTACAGTTTCTCATTGCAAAAACAAGTCACTGAGAAATTATATTTTATGAACCCAAACTTTCAGGAATGGACCTTGAATGGCGAGCCACTATTTGTAGATGGAGATCGTGTGTCACTGAAAGCACAAGGACAAATTCTAGCCATCAGAAAGGTAGCTTAATCGCTCTGATAGTTTTCATGACATATATTCAAGTACAGGTGCAAATGGAAGACTATGGTGAGTACGCCTGCGAACTCTGGGCCGGTAACGATCAGTTGGCCAGACAAGTGGCTACGGTGACGATTATCGGGCAAGACGGGGTCAAGATCGAACCGAAATTGAAGCGCAAGTACAATTTCCGACCATCAGCTGTTTTGCTTACTCTCGTGCTGTCAATCACGCTGTGAGTTCGGATGACTTCTGCGGAATTTCAGCTGTAAGAATCTTTTTATAGACTGTTTGCGACAGTAGCATGTTGTGTTGGATTCGGACGCATATGGAGCAGTAGAAAAGTTAGAGACCGGCCAGAACCCGTGTAGTCACTGAGAGGGGCGCAGGGCAGTTCGGAGACCAGCAAAAGGAGAACAGCGGAGTTTTTGACCGTTCTTGGGAATCCACCTCCTCGATGCCGATCAACTCAGAATCAGCTAACATCTGATGAGTGGTGGAACTATTGATTATATGTTCGGTACACTCAGTTCTCACATGTTAGATACTAGGAATCTACTGAAATCACTTTTTTGCACAAATTATGCATATTTTATACACATTTATTTGGTATAAATTCCTTTCATTCAGGTACACAAATTATCTGTTCCAGTAATCTTTGTTTATAATAGAATTGTTGGTATAAATATGTGAGCCTCTTGACGTTAACAATTTGCAGCAAAAACTCAGTTACTGTTTTTACTCCTGACCAGAAAATTCTTTGGACAAGTAAGTGCACTCAGGCGATCTGCTACTTACTACATAACTCGCTACTCGTAACTTGACTCCGATCGAGATCAAACATATCGAATTCGATCTCGGAGAGACAGAAGAAATCGTTACAAAGAACAGTGCAGAGCTGAAAGTTTGAAACGTTACCCCCCCCCCCCTCCCTAAGCGATCGATGATTGGGAAGTGGTAAAGAACAGCGAAAGACTATACACAATAACTAGAACCATGACAAAACGGAAGAAAAGCAGGGGATTGTTTGGGCCGATAAGTTTAGCGACAGATTAGGGGGAAGAATGAAAGTATTTGAGGCTTCGTTCCAGCGCCTTAGCCGGCCCAAATTGTATGTTGCCAGCGAATTTGAGGAAAATTGGCACATCCTTGTCTTACACAAAATTTCCATACAACTCCAACTCACTACTGCACGCCACATTTATATTTGAACGCGTTTTCGCTATAAACCATCGAATTGTATTATATATTGTAGGTAGAACTTTTCGTTATCGCGCTGAAAAAGATCTTGTGAGAACATGCAAGTAATGACCTCCTTTTAAATTGTTTGCAAGCTGCTGAATTTTTTAGTAGCCATATGCACGTTTGCACAAGCTTGCACAAGTTTACACAATTTCTAACCTGCTTTTACCTTTAAGAATGATTTCAGCTTACACATATGCCAGACCTGCCAAGCCCTATGCGGGATTCCGTGTCTTTCTCTCATTGCACAGCCTATGCCGTTACTCTATATTTTACTTTATGATTTTTTTGAACTTAAATTCTTTAGAAGAAAATTGCTCAAAGATGATTTTCTTATTAACAGGCCAGGAACTTCGCCAGCGAAGAGAGGAATTCCTAACACATACAAGATCACACCAGCAAGAGAAGAGCATTTTGCTGCAGAATGGATTTATATGAGAAGACGGTAGCTATTTTTCGAAAACACAAGATATACCAAAAAAAAAACACAGGATATATTGAGATATATATCCATCACACTAAACGGCGAGTAGTGGTCTGACACGTTGTCAGAGTAGGCGTACACGATACAATATTGTTGGAGGTCTTGACAAAACCGATCTCCGCCGAAACGTAGACAATACTGATTGTTGACTGTTACTGTCAACAAAGGAAGAACTACCAATCCTGGAAAGCTTAACATTATATACAAGATATACTGTTTGTTTCACTAATATATATAATCGCTCATATTGAAGTAGAGTGGCAAAAATTCTCTGGAGGAACATTAACCACGCAAGTAATAAACGATCACCTGCGTTTGATGAATGCCGAAATAACGAATGAGGTATTCTATATGAAGGTGTAAGCAAGTTGAAACTCCAACGTTCATGAGACACTCTCAAACATGAGAACCATTGATGCAAAACACATGTGCAATGGATTCTTGGATCTCAACTGGAAATTCTTTTACTACAATGGGAACTGTTAGCGTCGAGTAGCAACGGATTACAGTTTATAGCCTCTCGATCGCTTCACTAATTTTGGCAAATAGAGGAGTTCGTCGCTCGAATGTGGAGGAGAAGGCGGAGAAGACTAGAGCTTTGCCGACGTTGCCAACGTATGAGTGCAGCAGTTTATAATATTAGGTTGTAACATAAGTTTGTTACACTTTAACTTCTTAAGACGATAAGTCGTACATTTCACATGTTTAGTAGGGTCAGGAGAGCATTCGATAGAGCAAAGCAAGCTCTACAAGATGATGTGCAAAATCGCATCAACTTCGACCCAGTGTGAGTTTGCATCCGAAATCGGAGTCGTATGAAAGTCAAAAAATTGCGATAAATTCATATCTTCGTTTAAAATCCTACGAATCTCTAACTAGCTCAAGAACATTGCATACTATGTCGGACACTCATGGCACCGTTTCTGGATTTCTTCCTCATTTAGAAATCGAGAAAACGAAAATTTTGATGTTTATACAAAAACGAAGCTATGCTGTTCACTGATGTAATTGTATACTATATGCCCTTAGAAGTACAGCCATATAGTAAACCACTCTGAGGTTTCCACAGGCCCTAATTTTCGAAAATTACCGAATTAGCTCTCCTCACTCGGGTGTTCTATGCTAAAGTCAATATTTCTCGAAAAAAAGGTTTGTAGAAAGCTGAAAATATATGGTTATACTCCCAAGGGCTTGTAGTATACAACTACTGGAAAACAGCATAACTCGGTTTCTGTAGAAACATAAAAATTTCCGTTTTCTCGATTTCTAAATGAGGAAAGAATCCAAAAATGTTACATACGAGTGTCTGATGTAGTGCGCAAGTTTTATAAGTAAGTTAGAGATTCGTAGAATTTTTTTTTGAACAAAGATATGAATTTTTCGCGATTTTGTGAGCCTTCAGTACGACTCAGATTTTGGATGCAAACTTACACTGTCGGATGGTGCGAACTTTTGCATGCTCTATCGAATGCTGTCCTGGAACCTATTGAAAATGTGAAGTGTATGACTTAAGAAATGAGAGTGTCTCAAGACTTATGTTACAACCTATTAGCTAGAGAGTACATACACTAATGCTTTAAAACGGAAGCCAGACAAGTTTTCCTATGTGTTCAAATGTGCAGGACCACGCCCGCTATACACACGGAAATCGTTTATAACAGCTTAAGCTTCTTGAATGAAAATGATTGGTGTTCGCCAATTTTACTGCTCGACGTTGACGGAAAATTCTTTTGCATCTTACTTCCCGACTCGCCTATATAAAGCCCCGTTACGGTTCAATCAATCGCTTGAGATTTTTGATTAGTAAAATCTGTGCAAATGGTTCTAAATGTTGTATATAGAGTAAAAGTGTTAAAAGCATAAGAATTACTTGGAGGCGAATACTTGGATTACTGATCCCATAAGAGAGCCCCATTCAGAAATGCCTTTTTTGGTACAAGAATACACTAAGGATCAAACGCATTCATGCTTTAATATTGAATTTGAGCTTTCGTACGCTCCCCTTATACGAGCACTTAGTTTTGAAACTGGATCAGCTATCAGCTGCTTACATCTCATAATTTTTCATGATCAAAAACTGCGTGTTATAGATTGTTTTTTGCTTCATTTCAATTGTTGACTATTTGCCGATTACATAGCTCACATTCTGTTATTTTGATTCATGACAGACTTCTTCGCTATTTCATCTCTTTGTTCACATCTATCACTTTTGTAAATCGAATGTGAACATACATCGAATATTGTGAATCTTCGTTTTCTTTATGCGCAACTACTATGGAGGCCGCTGCATGGCGATGGCGCAGTATTCTTGAACGCGTATGCGATTTGTTAGCTGCAGAGCCCAAGGGGGGAGGGAAATCGCAGGATTTAAAACGGTGAAAATACGGGCTCCGGTTCGTTGCGCAAGTAACGCGCGGAAATTTCTCAATGCAGATGGACGAATGTTTTGCTCTTTGAATGTCTCCGAAACGATATTCTCTAGTCCATGTTATCTATAACCTAGTGTGCCCTAACTCTATCTACATATATGGGCTCAAAACCTTCACCGTGAGAGCTTCCTTTTCTTTCGAATTGTCTGAGCTATACATATAGTATTGTGCCCAACATGCTTATCGTTGTTAGCACACCTATTTTCTTTGATGCATGTATTACTGAAATACTAACGTTGGAATACATTATATAACTTCATGCTTCATCGTCTTATTGCGCACACACCTTCGTCTCCTGACATTCTTCTTTTCAGTCTTTCTAGTTCTCGTTCTTTGCATAGCAAAAGTTAAAAGCGTTATTATATTTTATTGCTATCAGCGCATCCACGACACGTTCATTATACCGATTCTGCCGTTTCGGACATATCGTCTGTGCCAAGAGTTCTTACGGGTACCATCAACGTGGCTGCTTTTGGTCGTTTTAACATGTCAGCTTCGATTGTGTCCTGAATCTGCTGGAGTCAACGTGAAAACGATCAAGGCAGCCATGCCGATGGTTTATATTGAAGCAACTCTGGGGGATAAACCATACCTCAGTTCTAACTTTAGCTCTGGCCATACTTACAGCAACTCCATCGTCGCGATTCCGTCGCCGGGGAATTATATGATTATAGCTACGAAATCGCGACTTTCGAATCGCTGGTCTCGGATACTGGACTGGTTCTGGACCTATCTGTGCAGCGATAAGGTGAAAATACACTTTTTAGCGCTCGTTCTGAGTTTTCTTTTGGCATCCAAAAGCAGTGTTTAGCGTAATTTCTTTACATTTGCAGAATTCTTTGCCTTTTTTCGACACCGATATGTGTCCTATTGCACAAATCGCATCGCGATGATTTTTTTGTCGGCTGCCAGGGCTTATTTCGTTTTTTCCTTTATCAGCGATAGAGCGTATGGTTCGGAAGTTAGTACCTTACTTAGAGCCACGTTTTCAAGCATCTGCCAGAATCTCAAGTAATTTCACCGTAAATTCGCAATGCTTGGAGACACAAATACGGATAGGTCGTGTCTGAGATGGCAGTACACGTACGCCCCACCAGCGGGTCGTAGTCGTGAGTGTACATCGTTTTGCCACATGCATTACACCAGTTCATGGGCTGGGTATGAATGCCTACGTTATCATCGCATAGGAGAAAGTTGTAGTAAATACGTAAATACTATTCCGAGACCAACAATGTTTTCAGGACAAGCAATGGATAAGCACTATAATCAATGCTATGCTATGCTTGCCTAATCTTCGTATCTTCGGGTGACGTCAGCATTTTTATTTCCTTTTTGAAATGTCTGCTTTAGCGGCTATCTACAGCACCAAAAATTCGAACATAATCTATTAGGCTCTATTTCTAAATTGATTTGAAACTTGTTCGGGTCCTTGATGCCCACCTAAAAGCTCGTGGCTTCATCAATAAACCCTACCAA